TACGTCGAAGTGAAATACGGTATACCTTCAAGGCACTGTTTTCTTTTCGTTCGGAGCACCTAATTGACTGGGGCTAGCTTAAACGCTAAATGTACTGCTATGCATAAGATGCTCTAGGTAGTAATGCGCGGATAGATATTTGTCAGTGTTGAGTTGTCACGTCGATTTCAGTGAGAATGTACCACCAGTAACTGAACTGCCTGTCTATTATGTATTTCACAGACAAGCATACGTATATGTGTTACAATATGAATGAATTTATCGGTGTAAATGTAACGTAAGAAAGAAATATAAATTTTATGTTAGAATGCTACTCTGCTGCTAAAAAAACGTTACTGTCATATTGTTCATACTATGTAGAGAAAATTGAGTCATCATTGGTTCAATAGTGAAAAAAAAATGAAATCAATCATCCATTTTAAAATCAGAACATGAAGAAATTGACAAGACGTATGTAAAACGTATGATATGCGATCAGTCATTGTATGTCAGTGACATGGCTCTAAAACAGCATTTGTAAAAAAAAAAACATTATGGATCCGTTATATAAATGTTCAATTATGACGGACAATAGCTGTTCGTGAGATCTTGATATGACAGAAATATTTAATTTTGATAACTTCTCAACACTTAAGGCATGTCAGAGTTACATTTTTAGAATGCACATTCATTAAAACAAACTTATCGACCATTTTGTATGCGATCTGAAAAAAACAAACAAAATGATATGCATCGAGGTCACGTATTGTCAAATGTGTAAAATCAATTCTTACAAGACCAAGATTCCGTTAATTTAATAATCTGTTAACATCAAAATGCCTGTCATTCGATCAGCTTGAAAATGATAGTTAAACAAATGAACATGAATATGTGCAAAAAGATGTATGACGTGTAAAGAAAGTTTAAACATAATCAGTCAGGGCATATGAGAGAGTCAGCGGCGGAACAAAATTTATTTAAAACGGAATGATCATCAGTTATTTTTAATCTGAAAACAAAAATGACGTTCATCAAGGATCCATAATGTCCAATGTATGTATACATATTACACAACCGAGATCTGGTTCCCGAATGGCAGAAATTCTTAATTTTAAATCGAATCAGATCATGAAACGAAAGAACGTGCTTATATATAGGATATATTATTTGTGTGTCAAAATTCGAATGTGTTCGACCGAGGCTTGTCCGAGATACAGATCTGAACGAACGAACGAACGCACAGACGGACGGACGGACGGACGCGAGCAAGATGATCCACCAATAAGCTTCGTTCACGGACGGTTTCCGAACAGAGACTAATAAGTGGTCTGCGTACACTATTCTGTTTAACACTCAGCGAAAAGAGTCGGTTTTGTTGGTGTCATGGCATTTTACCATGCATTGTTTCTTATGCCATGGACATATCTCAATATGTCAATACTTTGTTCGGAGTTAATGAATCAGATATACGTTGTGCCAAGAAGTATATTTTAAGACAAAACATTATCGTTATTATCTAAGGCTGTTTTTATATTTATATACAATCAGTATATGCCTAACATATGTATGTATGTGACATGGGATTTGTAATCGTGATTTGCTGCGAGCTGGAACTTATGCATGTTTGCTTGCACGTGCATATAGTTATTTACTCAAACGACACTGACTGACAGATTTGTCAGGAGGGCAAACTTAACTGAGTAGGTTTACATCGAATATGAATACATTGCTTGTTATGTATTTCATATTGCACGCTGTTTGAAATGTCCGAGATTAGCTTGTATCTATTCTTACCAGTCACTGCAGGGCCGTGCTAATCACATGCCATTTTAAGCCATTCCTCCGGGACACTCGGCGTAGCGCAGTGGGAATGGCGAAACAGTTCAAATTGCGTGTTGCAATTTCTGTAAATTCGTTTGTAATTATATTATTACCGATTGTCCACGTGGCACCTTGCGGCAACATTTTGATTATAAGATAACGTGGAGCACTGAAATAATTGATGCATCACCCAGTTCTGTGTATATTTGTGAAACCCGTTCTAGATAACAGTGAATTGTGATATTGTGACGGTCTAATATATAAATTTCTCTGATTGCTTTTATGATTTGAACATTAGATGGGAGAGCCTTTTGGCGAGCACACAGTTACTTGTAATTATAATTGTTTTGACTTTTCTTAGATCCACACTCCGGGTAATGCTAAGTGCAGAACGCCCGACAGCCCCGGTACGTGCACGCACGCATAACGCTACACTGGGACACGCGGACGCCACGTGAACATGCTTAGCCAATCATGGAATAATATAAGCATTTTAAAACCATGATAGCATGACTAAATACAATAAGATAAATATGCGACTTGAATTCCTTTTTCTTTAAATTTATTGTTCAAAAACGCCTTTGTTCTTATTGTCATATTGTCGATATACTCACATTGTTTACTAACGTGAGGTTGGTAGTTGGCTTTCATATATACAAATGGACTATAACATATGCAAATATGAATAACTTGACAAATAATGTTGCATTTAAATATGTGCAAAATTGGTACATCACATGTTTACGCATGATAACATATTCTTAAATGTAATCCGTTTAATTGATCTTAAACAGAGAAAACGGTCAATATAATTATATATAATTTTCTTGAAACCTATCTGTAGCTGTATAAACGGGTCAAGAAATTGGACAAGGACATTTTGCCTTTATTTTACCGCAACAACATAAGCGTCCGAATACGGGAACCAGTTCGACAACGGTACCGTGCGTCTCCGTAGCAATCGCCATTTCCTTATTCGACAGCATACATACGCTCTTAGAGTAAATAATTCCGAATAACAGGATTGACGCCAAGTTAATGAGTAGCAATCCATGCAACTATTTAGAATCCATTTGTAATATTGAATACTATACTATTGAATACACTTTCACTAACGCTTATTATTGACGTTACTAATAACATTGACATCCACGTTTCTCCGATTAAAACACCAAAAGAATCCATTGAATATGTAAAATTGAGCATAGAACATTATCTAAATGATAAAACCGTGAATTTAAAACCCATTGAATATGCCTGAAATGCTAAATCAGGAAAATTTAAACCCAGTTAAAATTAGTCATTTTACAGTAATCGCATATAAGGTGTTGAATTTATTTGAATTTCTTGTTAAACACCGATTTGCATATTTGCTATTTTTTACCAGAGTTGTCGCATAATATTTCACCAGCTTGTATACTTATAATGAAGAATATATGCGACTATGTAAATCACTGTGCCGTATCAAAATTTACATTTTAAAATTGAGCAGGTAGTTTCAATTCATGTTTGACTGTGTTACACAAACAACAGAATATTCAAATTAGAATAGTGTATAGTTCTTAAAATACAACAGAGTGAGATTTGATCGAACAGTGCATCCCAAAATACAAAAAAAAAATCACGTAAAAGATTCAAGTTCCAACATTTTTACAATGACATATATAGATAATTTTAAGTTGATTATGCAAACCGCTCAGAGATGTCTGAAGATTTCGATTTAAAAATAAATTAATAGAATTGTGTTTAATAGTACACATTACAAACACTACTTATCATGTCAAAACCTCCTGATCAAGACAACGTCTAGAAAAACTAATTATATAGTCCGACAGTTTATATTTACATAATAACTAACTCGGTTATTGAAATGTGTATCGTTTAATTTCAGGATTGCATATAGTTTTTACTGAAATAACATTTACATTGCACACGCAGCATGTATGTATGCGAAGCTTGTAAGGTCGGGGAACATAGTGAATATTTGGGTATCTGGCGTACGTCATTCTCGACGTGGTCAACAGTTATCCGATAATACTATCTTTAACAAGAGCAAAATCTGTGGCAGGAAATCGATAAAATGCATTCCCAAAATACATATAGTCGGTTTCAGATTTCCATTACCAATTACACAAGGTACCAGGAACAATTATAAGTCGAACTATATTCATTGCCGTTGCTTTACGTGACTTCGCATTTAATGCATATTCATCGCATTGGCTGCCAATAGCATATGCTTGCCGGCAAAGGCAGCTCATCGATCAGTGACGTCATTATGCCACTTATTTATAATGTATGATTACTGAAAATGAATTTGTCAGTGCGGTCTGGCGATAAGACACAGAGATTTCAGAAATAGCTCAAAGCAAGCAATGC